TTATGTGGGCTTGTCTATGCATATTCTATCTGTAGCATTGGTCTACCAGTCTGTTTTGGTGCCAATACCATGCTGGTTTTGTACTGTGGCTCTGTAGTATAATTTAAGGCCTGGTATTGTGATGCTCCCTGCTTCATTTTTCTTGCTAAGGATTTCTTTGGCTATTCTTATCTCTTATTTTTCCAAACAATTTCATGATTGCTTTTTCTGTTTCTATGAAGAATGTCATTGGGATTTTAATAGGAATTGCATTAAATCTGTATAAAGCTCTGGGTAGGGACTTCTTCAATTTCTTTCTTTAGTATTCTGTAGTTTTCTTTGTAGAGGTCTTTCACTTCTTTTGTTAGATTGATTCCCAAATATTTGTTTTGAGTCTATTGCAAATAGGGTAGTTTTCTTAATTTCCCCTTCAGTGAATTCATCACCAATATATAGGAACACATTTGATTTGTGGGTATTAATTTTATGTCCTCCTACTTTGGTGAATTAACTTATTAGTTCTAGAATGTTTCTGGTGGAATTTTTTGATGTTCTAAATATAGAATCACGTCATTACCAAATAGTGACAGTTTGAATTATTCTTTTCCTATTTGTATCCCTTTAATTTCTTTATTCTGCCTAATTGCTCTGGCTAGAATTTCAAGGACAAGGTTGAATAAAAATGGTGAAAGAGAACATTCTTGTCTTTTTCCAATTCTTAGAGGGAATGCCTTCAATTTTTCCTCCATTTAGAATGATGTTGGCCTTGGGTTTAGCATAGATAGCTTTTACAATGTTGAGGTATGTTCCTACTATCCCTAGTTTTTCTAGTGTTTTGAACTTGAAGGAGTGCTATATTTTGTCAAATGCTTTCTCTGCATCTATTGAGATGATCACATGATTGTTTTCTTTAAGTCTATTGAGATGATGAATTACATTTATTGAGTTCCATATGTTAAATCAACTTTGCGTCCCTGGGATGAACCCCAGTTTATTGTGGTGTACTATCTTTTTTTCTGTTTTTGTATGTGATTTGCCACAATTTTACTGTGAATTTTTGCATCTGTGTTTATCAGGGATATTGGTTTGAAGTTTTCTTTCCCTGATGTGTCTTTGTTTGGTTTTGGTATCAGAGTAATACTAACTTCATAGAATGAGTTTGGAAAGGTTCCCTCCTTTTCTATTTCATGGTGTATTTTGAGAAGTATTGGTGTTTATTCTGCTTTGAAGGTCTTGTAAAACTCTGCTGAGATTCTGTTTGGTCCTGGGTTTTTCTTAATTGTTAGGCTTTTGATGGTGTCTTCTATTTCATTGCTTGAGATTGATCTGTTCAAATTGTGTGTGTCCTTCTGGTTCAGATTGGGTAGGTCATATGTCTCTAAAAACCTGTTGATGTCTTCAAGACTTTCTATTTTATTGGAGTATAAATTTTCAGAATAGTTTCTATATCTTCTGTATTTAAGTAGTATCTATCATGATATTTCCTTTTTCATCACAAATTTTAGTATTTTGAATTTTGTCTTTCTCTTTGTTAGCATGGCTAAGAGTTTATCAATTTTATTTATTTTTTCAAAGAACCAACTTTTTGTTTTGTCAATTTTTTGAATTGTTTCTTTTGTTTCAATTTCAATAATTTCAGCTCTGATTTTAATTATTTCCTGTCTACTACTGCTTTTGGTGTTGATTTGTTCTTTTTCTAGGGCTTTGAGATGTAATGTTAGTTCTTTTATTTGTTAACTTTCTATTCCTTTAATGAATGAGCTCAATGCAATGAACTTTCCTCTTAGCACTGCCTTCATGGTATCCCAGAGATGTTGATATGTTGTATCACTATTCTCATTTACCTTAAAGTATTTTTCCCTTATTTTATTATATCCAACCTCCTGTGTCCCCAGTCTGCTTTTAATGTCCAGTTTTAGGTTCCAATAAAGTACCCCCCACCCTTTTATGTTCACCTGCCTTGTGGAGAAGCTGCCTATCTGCTTTCTTGGTTTCATGCCATGGAGCAGACAGGATCGTGACCTCCTATATTCCACCATTTTGGATCTCTCCTGTGTTTGGTTTTTGACAGTTTAATTAGAATGTGTCTTAGTGTGTATATCTGTTTTAACTAGTGTATTTGTTACTGTGACCAAAAGACCTGACAAGAACATCATACAGGTTCATGGTATCAGAGGTTCAGTCTATAGATGGCAGACTTCAAAGCTCTGAGCCCAAGATGAGGCAGGACATCATGATGGAAGGGCATGGTGGAGGAAAGCAGCTCAGGACATAGCAGCAGGAAGCAAAGAATGCTCCACTTACTGGAGACAAAATATAAATCACAAAGTCTTTTGAATAAAATATAGAGAAAGCCTTCAAGACTTTAGGTTAAGCAAAGAGTTCTTGAGCATGACATCAAAATCATGATTCAGCAAATTTAAATATTGATAAACTGAAACTAAATCAAAATGGAACAACTTGAGTCATGTTAGAAAACATGTGCCCCCAGTGACACTCCTCCCCCAGCAACACCCCACCTTGCTTATAGTCATCACCCAGTCAATTCATATCAATGGATTAATCTACTGATTAGATTACAATACTCACAATCCAATCACTTCACCTCTGAACATTCCTGTATTGTCTCACACATGAGCTTTTGGGGACACCTCATATCTAAACCATAATGATCTCTTGTTTATACTACTTGGAGTTCATTACACTTCTTTAATATGTGAATTTCTATATTTGTCCAACTTGGGAAGTTTTCGGGAACTATTTCCTCTAATATTATTTCTTCCTCTTTTGCTCTTTTCTCCCCTGGGATTCCCAGTATGCATAAGTTGGTATGCTTGATGCTGTCTCACAGGTGTTTTAGACTTTGTTCACTTATTTTTACTTTTGCTTCTCATAGTGGACAGTTCTAGTTGAACTATATTCAAGTTCACTGATTGTTTCTTCTATCTGTGCACATCTCTTGTTGAGCTTCTCTAGAGATTTTTTTCACTTTAATCATGTATATTTCAGTTTCACAATTTATACTTAGTTTCTTTTCACAATTTCTCTTTACTGAATTTCTCTATGTGTTGAGAAACCATTCTCCTGATATTTCTGTAATTATTTGTCCATAGTTTTTCTTAGCTCTTAAAGCACATTTCAGACAGTTGATTTAAAGTCTTTATTTCATAAGTCCATGATCTGTTTCCTCATGATGGTTTCTCTTAATTTCTATGAATCAGCTATGCTTTCTTATTTCTTTTCATGCTGCATAATTGTTGTTGGAAACAGGACATTATAAATATTATGATGTAATAACTCTGGAATTAGATTTTCCCCTGCCCTAAATTTCTCATTTCACCCCACCCCCACAAAGGCATGCCCCAGGGTGTTTTAGTTGTTCATTTTATGACCTTGCTAAACTATTTTTTTTGTGAAGATTATATTCTTTGTCATATGTAGTCTCCCAAGTCTCTCCTTTTCTCTAGCTTGGTGATTAGCTAGTGGTTTGACAGAGATTTCCTTAAATATTTGGAGCAAATAAAATAAAATACTATCAAAGTCTTTGCAGATTAGTTGTGAAGTGGCACTCCTTCAGTCCTTGGCCAAGTGATTTAAAACTTTGCCTTAACCTTCATTTCTTGTTTACTCTAAGCCTAGTTGTCCAGAGATGAGAGCTTTAGGTATGCTTTAGTATTTTCTGAGCATGCCTCTGGCTCAGAGTGTGCATCTTTTTTTTTTTAATTTCTGTGGATATATGAAAACTATTTAATTCCTCTATTCCTCAAAGTATCTCTTTCTCTGGCTTTTCCTTCCTGTATGTCTATTGTTTGGCTATTTTATTGTGCCCCAGGTGTTAGCAACATCCTCATTTTCATTTCATTGTTTTAGAAGAAGTTTCTTTGTAATTACTTCTCCAATCTGAGAGTTCCAAGTTAGGCAAAGTCAAGACAAGCACTTTTCATCAGTATGTTTGAGTGCTCTTAACCAGGTATAAACAGACAAATACAATTCCTTAAGAACAAGTTTACATTCCTTTGTTTGCAACAAAGAACCTACACCTGGAACACAGGCTACTACTGTCTTCGGAGGTTGCTACCATGCTGAAGTCAGGTACTAGAGAAAGGTAAGTTAAAACGTTGCTAGTGTTTCCTACTGCATTTTAGTAGCCTTTCTCCTGGTTAATCTGTGGTTTGTTTATTGTATACCTTTGACGATCTTCCAGAGTTCTGGTAAAATGTTTGCTATTTTTTTTTTCAGCATTTTTCTGGAGCAAAGGGCCCTTGAAGTTTCCCACTATGTCTTTTTGTTTTCTAATATGACTCAAGTTGTTTCATTTTGATTTAGTTTCAGTTTATCAATATTTAAACTTTGCTGAATCATGATTTTGATGTCATGCTCAAGAACTCTTTGCTTAACCTAAAGTCTTGAAGGCGTTCTCTATATTTTATTCAAAAGGCTTTATAATTTTTCATTTTATATTTAGATTTATGACCCATTTCGATTTAGTTTTTTATTGGCCATGAGAACTAATTTGAAGCTTATATGTTTGTATCTAGGTGTATAATTGTGAAAACACCATTTAATAAAAAGACTGTCTTTTCTCTGTTTTCTTTTATGCCATTTTCATAAATCAATTGAACATAATGTATGGGTTTCTTTCTGCATTATGTAGTCTACTTTGTTGATATATGTGTCTGTCCCTTTGACAATACCACATGGTTTTGATTACTGTAATCTTGGAATAGGTTTTAAACTCAGTGTAATTCCTCCAAGTTCATTTTTTCTGCTTCATAAGTGTTTTAGCTATTTGCTTTTCCATATGCATTTCTGAGTCAGTTTCTTGATATCTACAAAGAATTCTACTGGTGTTTTCATTGCAGTTGTATTCAATCTATAGAAAAAATTGTTCTAATAAATTCAAAACAGCATGTATTTGAATTTATTTTAGATTGTCATTATTTCATCAATATATGTAGTTTTCATATATCTAAAAATAATTTTTAAAAGAATAAATAAATCTGTAGTTTTCAGATCCTGTATGTACTTTGTTAAATTTATATCTGTTTCATTTTTTAGGAGCTATTGTAAATTATATTTTTTAAAATCTCTTTTTCCTATTGTTACATTTCTAGGGTATAGAAATACAATCCTGAAATCTTCCTAAATATGTTTATTAGTTCTAGGAGTTCTTTTGTATATTCCCTGAGATTTCCTTTGTAGATAATTATGCTGTCTGCAGATAGAGAAAGTTTTATTTCTTCCTTTCTAATCTGCATGTCTTTTATTTCTTGTTTTGTCCCATGATTCTGACTGGAGTTTCTAGTACAACGTTGAAGAGAAATGGTGAGAGTGGATATTCTTCTCTGTTCCCAATCATGGAAAGAAGGTATTCATTCAGTTTTTCACCATGACACATGATGGTAGCTGTAGGGATTTTTTCAATATCTTTTATCAGGTTGAGGAAGTTTCCTTCTATTTCCAGTTTGCTTGGGGCTTTTAAGCAGGAATGGATGGATATTGGATTTCTGTAAAAAGCCTTTTTACAAAAAAGAAATTACAAAATGATAGAATCATGTGGTTTTTCTTCTTTAGACTATTACTACTGTTGGGTTGTGTTGAGTGATTTTTAAAAATATTGAATTAGCTTTACATTACTGTGATATACCCAACTTGGTCTAGTTGTATGGTATTTTTGGATTTGGGGTTTTTTTGTTCTTTTTAGATATACATGACAGTATATTTTTTTATTTTTTAGTTGTAGTTGGACACAATAACTTTTTATTGTATTTATTTGTTTTTATGTGATACTGAGGATTGAACCCAGGGCCTCACACATGCTAGGTGAGTGCTCTACCACTGAGCCACAACCCCAGCCCAGTAAAGTGTATTTTACAGGGATTATAACTTCCCATTCTTGTGGTTGTACATGATGTGAAGTTACATTGGTTGGGTACTCACATATGCATTTGTGGATTTGATTGGCTAATGTTTTGTTGTGAATTTTTACTTTATGTTCATGAGGGATATTGATTTGTATTTACCCTTTTTTGCACTCTCTCTTTCTCATTTTGGCATTAGTGTAATTCTGGTCTGAATGATATGAGTTGGTAATATTAATTTCTGGTTTTGGAAGAAATTATCTAGTATAAGGGATCAATATATTTTACTAATAAAACCTGTTGTCCTGCATATTTTTATTTCAGAAGATGTTTAACTACAAATGAATTTATTTGTTTGTTTGTTTGTTTGTTGGCACAGGGGTGGAAAACATTGCCTTGTGCATGCTAGGTAAGTGCTCTACCACCAAGTTACTTCTCTAATACACAAATTTATTTTAATAGTTACAGGACTATTCATATTTTATATTTTATCTTGGATGAGTTTAGGTAGTTTCTGGTTTAAAGCAATTCATCTATTTCATCTTTTCAAATATCTGTGACTAGAGGTGATTTTAGTATTTTTTTTTTTGTACCAGAGATTGAACCCAGGGGCTCTTTACCACTGAGCAACATCCCCAGCCCCGTTTATTTATTTATTTATTTTGAAGGATCTCACCAAATTGCTTAGGGCCTAGCTAAGTTGCTGAGGCTGGAATTGAACTCGTGATCCTCCTGCCTCAGTTTCCCAACCCACTCAGATTATAGGTGTGTACCACCACTCCTGGTTTAGTGTTTCTTACTATGCTTTTAATGTCTATGAGGTTTAGAGTTATGGCTACCTTCATTCCTGGTATTATTGATTTATTCTCTGTCCTTTTTGGGTAATTTTTGGTAGAATTTTATTAATTTCATTGATCTTTTCAATGAATCAACTTTTGATTTTTTTTTTAATTTTTATGGATCACTTTTCTGTTTTCAAAGAATGCAGAATGTTAGTTATTTTCACCTTTATTACCTGTGTTAGTCTTCTCAGGCTGCTATAACAAGATACCACAGACTGGGTTGCTTAATAGCAGACATTTATTTTCTCACAGTTCTGGGGCTGGAAGTCCAAGATCAAGGTGGTGTCAGATTTTGTTTCTGGTAAGGCCTCTCTTTCTACCTTGTACATGATCTACTTTTTTCTATATCTTCATGTGTCTTTTTCTCTGTACATAGGCAGAGAAAGACCTTGAGTTCTGGTGTCTCTTTCTCTTCATATAAATCCCATATATTCTTCATATAAATTCCATATTAGAGCCACAACTTTATGATTTTAATTGCTTCCCTAAAAGTCCTGCCACCAAGTATAATCATATTGGTGGTTAGAGCTTCATCATATGAGGGAGGCACCATTCAGACTATAAAATTCTTCTAAAATGACAATGAATGGCATATGCTTCTGAAACAATAAGAGATTACTACTAGACCATTCATTCTCTGTTGCATAGAATATTTTCTTGGAAAGGTGTTATCAGAATCTATGAGAGCATTATGTATAATATGTCAAAATACGTTTTACTATCATGCATAACTAAAAAGAACAAATAAAAAATTTTTTAAAAGAAAATTTAAAAAATAATCTATGAGAAAAATAATCTATGTGCTGGGATGGAGGTTTCTGTGTGTGTATGTGTGTGTGTGTGCCTAGCATATATCAATTAGTATATTTTATATATGAAATATATATTCTGTTGTTGGGTGGAGTACTCTATAAATGTCATTTAGAACTACTTATTTGTGTTTCTTAGTTTTTATATAACTTTGTAATGTTTTTCTACTAATTCCACTGATAATTAAGGGAGGAATGTTGGAGTTTCTAACTATATTTATGAATTGGACTATTTCTCTTTTGTCATTTTTTATTTCATGTCCTTTGAAGCTCTGTTGTTAGTTGCACACACAATTAAAAATTTTTATGCCTTGGTTACTTGACCTTGTTATCATTAAGGAATATCCCTACTTATCCCTGGTTCTTTTCTTTCTTTCCTTTGAAGTATATCTCTTTTTTTTTTTTTTTTTTCACTATTAGGGATTGAACCCAGGGCACTCTGCCACTGAGCTATATCCCCAGCCCTTTTTATTTTTTTATTTTGAGACAGGATCTTGAGAGGCCCTGATCCTCCTGCCTCAGCTTCCTGAGTCACTGGGATTACAGGCATGAGCCACCATGCCCGGCCCCAAATCCTCTTAGTTTTCCTTCATCATGGATGTCTTCATTTTGTCTTTATTCCTGTGAAGATATTGTTGCTAGATATGGAATTCCAAGTTAACAGTTCTATATTCCCCATTCAGTTTTAAAATGCTCTGCCATTTACTTCTGATATCCATGGCTTCTGATGAGAAATCTATTATCATTTAAAGTGTTGTTTTTCTGTGTGTAATGTGTTAGTTTTAATCTAGCTGCTTTAAGTATTTTTTCTTTTAGTTTTCAACAGTTAGATTAAGATTAACCTATGTCAGCTGGGAGTGGTGGAGCATACCTATAATCCTGGCTTCTCAGGAGGCTGAAGTAGGTAGATCCCAAGTTCAAAGCTAGCCTCAGCAATTTAGTGAGGCCCTAAGCAATTTAGCAAGACCCTGTCTGTAAATAAAACTTTAAAAAGGGATGGGGATGTTGTTCAGTCATTGAGTGCTCCTGGGTTCAATCCCTGGTACCAAAAAAAAAAAAAGATTAACTTACATCTAGGTTTTGGTGGTTTATTCTGTGGGGGGATTGTGGAGCTTTGGGATTAATAACTTTTTTACCATAAATGGGATGCTTTCAGTAATTATTTCTCTTTTTTCATATTTCTACTGGTGTGTTGTAGTTGTATATAATGGTGGGATGCATTATCAGTCATTGTTTTTCAAAAATTTTTTAGCATCACACTTTTGTTTTCCTCTTCTGGAACTACAGTGATAGAAATTTTGTAACTTTTTTTTTGGTTCTACAGGTTCCTTTGTTTTTCAATTTGTTTTCTCCAAATTGGATAATTTTTTCCATTTATATATAAAAGCTCATACACATTAAAACATGAGGAATTGGGAATGTATTACCTCCTAACAGTTTCCATTTCTATGTTACTGTCAGATATTCTGTCTTACCAGGTGTTGGTTATGCATATGATGCCATATTTGCTTTCTTGTATTAAAATGAGAAATGAACTGCATCCATTATTCATAACCCAAATGTTGGTATATGTATATTTGTATCTGAAGGAATTTCTAGATATCTTCCATTTCATGATAAGAATTACTGTGCATGTCCTGATATAGGCTGTTATGTTTCCCACATGCCCACCAGTGTTTGATTTACAGTTATATCTGGGAATATAACTCCCTTCCTTTATATATACATCAAAAAATCTTTTTTAAGGGGTTAACAACTTTCCTTAAAATAGGCTGAGACCACCCCCCTGCAGGTTTGTCCTGAATAAACCTATTACTGTTGAGCTGCCTCTGCTCTCTTTATTTCCTTTGTTTCTTTCCTTACACAAGCAAAGCAATTAAACTTCTTTTTCCTTTTTCTCAAAAAAAAAAAAAGGCTCAGATGTGAGATGTACTCACTCACTTGCCAGTGGTTCATTCTTTTTTAAAATTTTTTTTAGTTGTTGATGGACCTTTATTTTATTAATTTATTTATATGTGGTGCTGAGAATCAAACCCAGTACCTCACACATGCTAGGCAAGTGCTCTACCCCTGAACCACAACTCCAGCCCCCAACCAGTGGTTCATTCTTTAAATTTGGGATTGATTCAAACCCAAGATTTTTTTTTTTAGAATGAGTGATCCTTTCCTGGGGAAATTAGCATCTGGGATAAAAACCCTGCTATATTTCTTTAGGGAATCTTTGGGTTCTTGCTGAATCAGTTTTTCCTCTGGGGCCTTATTCCCCCAGCCTCATAACATCTCAAGTCCTCCAAAACTATCTTAGCATTCAACTTCAAGTAAGCTCCCTGCAGAACTTCTTTGCAAATTTATTTCCCAAGCCCTTGACAACCCTCTAGCTACCAAGGTAATAAAACTGTTTGGGGAGGTTATTGCATTAAGTAAAGTGAATGTGGAAAATGAATAAGGGGAATTGATGCATAAAATTGGGGAGTGAGGCAATGGGGAAGATGGCTATTCTTGTCAGAGGTATAGTTAAGGTGTGCTAGGAATTATAGCGTCTGGTGGGGAATACCCCTTGGTAAGATACATATGTGTGTGTGTTTTTAAATAGTTAGTGGGGGAGCATCTGGATGGAGACAAAAGACAGATATAAAGAGAGAGAGAGAGCACATAGGACTGAGATTGAGAAATAGAGAAAGAAAGATCTTTTTGACTTCTTATTATTTGCCAATAGGAAATAGATTTAACAAAGTTTCTCAGAAAATAATTATTCTCTGAAGTCAAAATTTCAGAAGTAAGTCTAACCTTGTATGCAAAAAGAATAAAGAGGATTAACTATTAAATGAATTTCAACAAGGTATTTAAATGATAGTTCAAGAATGTTAGAAATCAACAGGCCAGTCTTAGGGCTAGAAATGTATGTGCATGCTGCTCTAGAAGTCAGTAGGTTATAAGTTAGCATTCTTTCAATTGGAAGCAATAGGAAATCCAACACAAATTGGCTTATAGAGAAAAGGGGAAATTTATTGACTTCCAGAATAGAGACGTTTGGAGGTAGTAGGGTTACAGCCATAGCTAGATTCAGATCTCGATAATGGATGTGATCAAAATTTGATTCTTTGCAACCTCTTAGCTCTGCCATCCTCTTTGTTGACTCCATTCTCAGGCTCTCACTTCAAGATCTAAGATGGTCATGTATGACTAAAAAGAACAAATAAAAAATGTTTAAAAGATATAAAGATTAATTATCTAGCTCCAAACTTTAAGTCCTTCTTGGTTCAGTCCAATGGAGAAGAATAAGAATTTATTTTCTAGGATATTATTCACTTGAACCAGTATCATTCTTGAACTATTCACTGTGGCCAAAAGAATGCATTTTCCAGGTGTGATGGCGCACACCTGTAATCCCAGCGGCTTAAGAGGCTAAGACAGGAAGATAGAAGATTCAGAGCCAGCCTCAGCAACAGCGAGGCACTGAGCAACTCAGTGAGACTCTGTCTCTAAATAAAATAAAAAATAGGGCTGAGGATGTGGCTCAGTGGTCAAGTGTCCCTGAGTTCAATCCCTGGTATGCCCCCTCCCACAAAAAAAGAATGCATTCATTCCCCAAAAGGCTTAGGCCCAGATTATAAATTCTGCCCTGAGTGAGAAATGAAGTTCTGAAATTGGAGTAGTTAGACTGAAAGTAAGTAGTGTGACTTCCCAGAAGAAAACTGAGGTGTGATTACCAGGAAAAGGTAACAATATGCTGGTAGCCATAGACAGAAAAATATCTG